CACACACACACACACAGACACACACACACACACACACACACACACACACACACACAGACACACACACACACACACACAGCACACACACACACACACACACACACACACACACACACACACACACACACACAGACACACACACACACACACACACACACACAGACACACACACGGACACAGAGAGAAGGAAATACTGAACTTTTAGTCAAATTGTGCAGATTGAAGTGAACACTTGTGACAGTGGAGTGCACATGAGGAGACAGAGACACGCTGTGACTCTGACTCAGAGCTTTCACCAACAGCGCCAAACACTTTTACCGCCACATGATGCTCTAGACTATTGTTTCCCAAAGACTGGGTCACGACCCTCAGGTGGGTCGCAAGAGATTTTTTTTAGGTCGCCTCGTCACGCTCTGCATGTAGGTTGAAATGTTAAGACATGTTTTGTATCATTTCTAATCTTTTTGTAATTATATTATTGACTATTTTCTTCTAATATTGCTGGTTCAATTGAATGTTGAAAAGAAAAAGAAATGTTCTACATTTAACGTCCAAATAGGCGACTTATGGATCCTTTTATTGCTGCTTCAGTGACTGTTTTTCATTGTTTCAAACTTGAGTCATACTAACTGTTCAGAGACACGATCACTCAGGCAAGAATAAAATATCCTCAATAATGTTCAAGAACAGTCAAATCCACCTTTATTATGTCTCTTGACTTGGGTTGCAAAGGTTTGTGACTTTTAAATATGGGTCCCCAGAAAAAAAAGCTTTGGGAAACACTGGTGTAGACTGTAGACGTGTACTTGTCGTATCATTGAGATGTACCATGGTTTAGATGGAGATCTATTGATCTTTCAATTGAAGTTTTTGGCACAGGCCTGTTATAAACTCATCACAGTGAATAATGTGGATGCTCAGGCTGTAGTGAAGTGAGGAATAACTTTGCTTCACTACAAATCATTTAAACACCCCTAGTTCTGTTTTTCAGTCAGTAAACTCCTGCCCAGAGTCTGTCAGAGCCGTGTGTGTGGTGCTCACTTTGGGCAGCTCCTCGATCTGGTTGGCGTCCAGGTAGAGCTCCTCCAGCGTGCGCTCAAAGCTGAAGATCTCCTTGGGGACCTGCTGCAGGCTGCAGTGGGAGTAATCCAGCACCGAGATCACCTCCTCCTCGCCACGGAAACAACGGCATGGCACCAGCCGACCAATCAGCTTCCGCTTCGTGGTCATCTCCAGACACTGCACTGAGGACACACACAGAGGACACAGGGTTAGACTTACGGAGCAAGTTCAAAGTTTATTGGTTTGAAAATGACAGAAGTTAGTCATGTGATATTTACGAATGAATCGGCTCTTTTGAACGGCTCCTTGAGTTCCTTATTGCTCAACTCCAGCAATGTTATTGTTATAGTATTCTAACATGGTTTAAAGAGTCAGTTTTGCATAATACACGACCTTTAACGTGAATATTTGGAACCAGATCTCAAATTTTCTTCTTTCTGATTTAGATTTTTATGCATTTTTACACTGAATAATTCTGATCCCACACAAGAATGAGCACAGAAGCAGAGCAAGCAACACGAGTGAGAGCTTTGTGCACAAAACACATACCTGAAATCATAATAACAGTTTTGAATTATTGTCATTGTTGTGCAACATTTTATTTAGATTTTCATCATCTCAAACCGTAAACACTTCCACTCTCAGGCTGAAACATTTTAAACAAATCTGAGTCTCAGGTCATTTCTCTCAGTGAAGAGTTTGTAGATAACATGAGTTCTCACATTCACTTCTGTCACATAAATAAATATAAGAAGTGTCTGAACGTCTCTTTCAAATGAAAAGATCCAAAACATTCAAATCCCACAAAGGAGCTGAACGTGCCATCATTAGCAGCGAGCAACATGGACCTTCTCTCCTCCCACTGGTGATTCAGACCATAGTGTGAGCATCCATCAGAAATATGCTAAAATGTGTTTGTAAAAAGTTCAAGTATTGCAAAATTTAAATTCACATGAAAATTAACCTTTTTTATGTAATCTGCATGTATAAGTAGTTTTAATTACAGTTTATAAAGTACTTGATATTGTAAATTTGCAAAAACACAATAACAGCTATAATCCACAGACCAGGCAAGTATGTTCACACAGTTCATTCCACAGCTCTTCATAATTCAGATTCACCAGCTCAAAATGATGATCATCATGATGTTGTGTTACTGCATTGGTCTGAAATAGAGCTGTTCCAGTCCCTTTATCATTTGGTGAATTATCCATTCACTCCATGGTCAGTGTAGTTAGATACTACAGTGACCTGTGGCCACAGCTGCCCTGGGACAGACTGCCACTCTGAGCCACTGGCTCCTCTGGCCCCCACCAACACATCATGTTCATAGAAGGCAAAGGGGTGAAGTGTCTAGCCAAAAGACACAAAAGCAGTCTACCACTATGGCACATGGGATCTCAGAGGTTTCCAATTTAAATACCAAACCTGCAGTTCACCGACGCCACTCACTGTGTCACATGAGCATGTTTTTCAAAACATTTCTGAGTAAATTGTGTAAAAAAGTAAATAGTAAAAAAAAAAAAAAAAAATCTGATATATATGTTTAATGTCATAATGTGGTAGCCAGACTGGTGCCACCTAGTGCCTCTGCTCAATTTCATTTGTCTCCTGTGACTAGGTCAGGAATCAGAATACACTGGACGGTTTGCACCGGCCAATCAGCTGTGAGCTGTGAAGCCATGACGCCAATCTCGTCGTGTCTGTCTGAGTCCCTTTTGTGGTACAACACAACAGTAAACAAAGCATCGAGATGGATGTGGACGAAGACAGACATTCAGTGTGGGCAACAATTCCCAAGATCGAGGATTTAAAGCCGGAACAAAGAGAATGTTTGGTGAATTTTATCAAGGGGAAAGACGTTATTGTCCTTCTTCCAACATACATCAAGACCAAACAGCAGCAATTGGTTAAATAAAAAAATACCCGCCTACCGTCGAGCAAACAAATCCTAATGCTACGAGGTCAGATGGTTTCCAGGAAATAAAACCAGCTGATGAATCAGACTAATAATGTGGAACATTCCAAGCAAAGTAATAATGTCTCCATGGTGACAACAGGAGGCTGACCCTTCACCAGAAAAGTTACACCATTAAATGTAAGGTTTATATGTAATTTCTATTTAAAGCTGAAATTGGTCCCTGCTCCTCTTGGAGTGTGGCTCGTGCTCGGTTCCTGTGACTCTGAGTGGCAGAAGTGGGTTAACAGCTTTATTAAAAGCTCCACTGAAAGTTTATCACATTTATCTCTGCAGCAGCAGCTCTGCTCCTCTCATGAAACACATCTGCACACAAAGGCCTCACTTCAGATTTCACCTTTCACTCCTGTCTTTTCTATTAGTGAATATTTATTAATAGATACAAAAACTAGTATCGATACTCATATGTGCAGGTATCGATACTGAAAATCAACGCTGAAAAGTATTTTTAAACTCCACACACTAGGATCAGTTGGAGTATTTCAAACCTGGAACTGCCAATCTCTACTGAACAAAAGGTAAAAGGAGCTGTTCACTTGAAAGCAACCACTTCACCACTTCCACTTCATGACATCACAAGGTGGAACAGAGCATTTTGAGCCTTAGAGATGTAGCCCGACTAATAAACCAAGGTTACTCAAACGTGTGAATGAAACAAAACACAACTGCGGGTCTGTTTTTGAGGAGGTACCGGCTTTATAACATGATTCAAAGATCAACACCTTTAAGTGACTTTAAAGCTGTAATGTGTTATTTATGACTTTTTACTGTCATTTCAAAGTCATTTGTTACATTACAATATTACTGCATTTAAAATGGAAGGCATTACACTACTACTGCATTACTGAAGTTACTCTCAAAATAACTGCGATGACGCTGAACTTTTGCGCCGTATAAGACTGAACTAAAACTAAACCAGGTCTAAACCAGAGCTGAACCAGGTCTAAACCAGGTCTAAACCAGGACTAAACCAGGACTAATCTAGGACTAAACCAGGACTAAACTAGGAATACAGCAGGACTAAACCAAGATAAAACCAGGACTGAACCAGGACTAAACTAGGTCTAAACCAGAACTAAACCAGGTCTAAACCAGAGCTGAACCAGGACTGAACTAGGTCTAAACCAGGTCTGAACCAGGTCTAAACCAGGTCTAAACCAGGTCTTAACCAGGACTAAACCAGGACTAAACCAGGACTAAACAAGGAATAAACCAGGACTAAACCAAAATAAAACCAGGATTAAACTAGGTCTAAACCAGAACTAAACCAGGTCTAAACCAGGTCTAAACCAGGACTAAACCAGGACTAAACTAGGAATAAACCAGGACTAAACCAAGATAAAACCAGGACTAAACCAGGTCTAAACCAGGACTAAACCAGGACTAATCTTGGACTAGAACTTGGACTCTAGGACCTCCCCTGAGAGAGCCCCTGAACGTGACCGGGCGTCAGCTGCGTTTAGCTCAGTGGAGCGCGGACTTCTGCGCCGGTCCTTTCGCTCGCGATCACGGTCTACGCGGGCGCACCTCCGGCATTTCACCGCTGCTGATATCGCAGTGATTTTAACGAATTTGTATGAAGAAAACCGAAACACCCACCACTTCAATCCAGATTAAAAAAGCATTGTGACGCGCGTTACTGACATTTGTACCGAGTAAAATATTACCACTTTTTTCCCTGTAATGCCGAACATTACTACGTTACAGCAAAAAGGCATTACACTAAGTCGTTACTTTTATATCGCGTTACTCCCGACGCTGAAGATCAAGAGTCAGTTTTGTGTGATACAGAACCTCGCCTCTAAAGAAACGAACTTACATCGTTTGATTAAACATAGCTCCACAGAAAGACGCACAGAAAGGTTTGACATGAATAAACATCAACACTGCCGGTGCTTTTGATCGATGGAAAGTGAAAAGCAAAGAGCGGCAAAGGTGATGAAAAGGACAGACGGGGACAATGGGGACACGACGAGGACATGACGAGGACAGGTAGGTGTCTCTCAGATAGAATCTACACTGGACACAACACACTGACCTGTCCACAGCCCCACACAAACAAAGAAGAGAAAGAGAAAGAGAAAGAGAGAGAAAGGTGGGCGCTTAACACAACAGAGAGAAAGAGAGGCACTTAATGCAACAGAAGAGATGAAGAGAGAGAAAGAAAAAGAGAGAGAATTGGAGGAAAGAGACAGAGAGAGAAAGGAAAGTAAGAGAGACATACACACAATGCAGCAGCAGAGTGAAGGAGAGAAGGTAGGGAAGAGAGGGAGGGATACTACTGCAGAGAGAAAGAGAGAGCGAGAGAGAAAATGAGGACACACACATTGACCACACTGCCCAAGCTCTGTGGAGAGACAGAGAAAGACAGAGAGAGGGAGAAAGAGACAGAGGGAGAGAGGGAGAGGACACATACATTAACCACAGAGTTCTATCTCTCCTCAGCTCCACAGAAAGAGAGAGAGAGAGAGAGAGAGAGAGAGAGAGAGAGAGAGAGAGAGGGGGTATATACCAGTAATTTAGCAAAGAGAGAGAGAAGAGAGAGTAGAGGGAGAAGAGAGAGAGAGAGAATGAAAGAGACACAGAGACAGACAGACAAACACAGAGAAAGACCCCACAGCAGTCCCAGAGAGCCCACAGCAGTCCCAGAGAGCCCACAGAGTCACAGAGAGCCCACAGACAGTGCAGTCCAGAGAGCCCACAGCAGTCACAGAGAGCCCACAGACCCCACAGCAGTCCCAGAGAGCCCACAGCAGTCCCAGAGAGCCCACAGCAGTCACAGAGAGCCCACAGACCTCACAGCAGTCCCAGAGAGCCCAAAGCAGTCCCAGAGAGCCCACAGCAGTCACAGAGAGCCCACAGACCCCACAGCAGTCCCAGAGAGCCCACAGCAGTCACAGAGAGCCCACAGACCCCACAGCAGTCCCAGAGAGCCCACAGCAGTCACAGAGAGCCCACAGACCCACAGCAGTCCCAGAGACCCAAAGCAGTCCAGAGAGCCCCAGCAGTCCAGAGAGCCACAGACCCCCACAGCAGTCACAGAGAGCCCACAGCAGTCCCAGAGAGCCCACAGCAGTCCCAGAGAGCCCACAGACCCCACAGCAGTCCAGAGAGCCCACAGACCCACAGCAGTCCCAGAGAGTCCACAGACCCACAGCAGTCCAGAGCCCACAGCAGTCCCCACAGCAGTCCCAGAGAGCCCACAGACCCCACAGCAGTCCCAGAGAGCCCACAGCAGTCCCAGAGAGCCCACAGCAGTCCCAGAGAGCCCACAGACCTCACAGACCCCACTGACCCCACAAACCCCACAAACCTTACAGACCCCGCAGCAGTCCCGCAGACCTCCACAGACCTCCACAGACCCCCACAGACCCCACAGACCCCTGAGGACTTGTGTTTATCCGACGGGGCCGGGCCTGTAAGTGCGATAACTCCACACACTCTAATGAGACCAGAGGGACAAGAAGCAAAAACACTCTTAAACTGTGCGCTTTGATAAACAGACTTCAGTCGAAACATTTCCATGGACTGTAAATATCAGATAACGAGAGTAATCTGATAACGCTATAACTAGATCTGATTTGTGGCGTCTGTTTACAGCACACGAGAAATCTGATCACCGAAAACACCTGGACACAGTTAATCCATGGACTTTTTTTTTTTTTTTTTTTTGAGTACATACACAATACATTTTAAAATAACTCTTTCAATCTTTAAAGGTGCACTGTGTAACTTTTTGAGTGGGGGTCCATCACCTTTTTGTTTCTAAGAATATGTCATTGATCTGCTGGGAATGTTCCGTAGTATGGCATTAAACAGTTCTATCTTACATTTCTTAAATTACACTGGTATTATTGTTCAAAAATCCCTAGAAAAACAGGCATTCTGACTGCCTCTCCACAGATCTGACCTGTAACTTGATTTAGTTTGGTCACAATGAAGATAGAAAGGTTTAATGCCATACTGTGAAACATTCCAGACAAAGCAGTAACATCTCCATGGAGACAAGCAGGTGTGTTACCTCATTTTTCCATAATTCTCTTTGGCAAAATCTGCACAAAGCAAAGCCCGAGATGTTGGATGTTCTGTTTTATAGTCACATCACAAGTGCGACGTTCCGTTTAAAAATAGAAACGAGAAGATCAGCAGCTTTCACAAAAATAACACTTGAGTTTGGTCTTTATTTGAAAGGACAATACGAGTACACAGAGATATTCAGATCATAAAAAACAAATGTTCTGCACCAGATTATGGATAAACAGCTCGTTCCCACCTGCAGTCCCTGGTTTACAGAAATAAATAATACAACACGATTACAGGCAGTCAACAAGAAGAGCATTTCACACTCTCTGATTCACACACCTACACCTGAACACAGCACCTGAACACAACACATGACCACAACACCTGAACACAACACCTGAACACAGCACCTGAACACAACACCTGAACACAACACCTGAACACAACACCTGAACACAACACCTGAACACAACACCTGAACACACATGACCACAACACCTGAACACACAACACTGAACACACACCTGAACACAACACCTGAACACAAACACCTGAACACAACACCTGAACACAACACAAACTGAACACTACACCTGAACACAACACTGAACACAACACCTGAACACACACCTGAACACTACACCTGAACACAACACAACACAACACCTGAACACACACCTGAACACACACCTGACACAACACTGAACACAACACTGAACACAACACCTGAACACAACACCTGAACACAGCACCTGAACACAACACCTGAACACAACACCTGAACACAACACCTGAACACAACACCTGAACACAGCACCTGAACACTACACCTGAACACAACACCTGAACACAGCACCTGAACACAGCACCTGAACACTACACCTGAACACAACACCTGAACACAGCACCTGAACACTACACCTGAACACAACACCTGAACACAACACCTGAACACAGCACCTGAACACAACACCTGAACACAACACCTGAACACAACACTGAACACAACACCTGAAACACACACCTGAACACACAACACCTGAAACACAGCACCTGAACACTACACCTGAACACAACACCTGAACACACACTGAACACACACCTGAACACAGCACCTGAACACAACACCTGAACACAGCACCTGAACACAACACCTGAACACACCACAACACCTGAACACACCTGAACACTGAACACCTGAACACAACACCTGAACACACACCTGAACACAGCACCTGAACACTACACCTGAAACACAACACCTGAACACACACACACCTGAAACACACCTGCACCTGAACACTACACACCTGAACACAACACCTGAACACAACACCTGAACACAACACCTGAACACAACACCTGAACACTACACCTGAACACAACACCTGAACACAACACCTGAACACTACACCTGAACACAACACCTGAACACAACACCTGAACACAACACCTGAACACTACACCTGAACACAACACCTGAACACAACACCTGAACACTACACCTGAACACAACACCTGAACACAGCACCTGAACACTACACCTGAACACAGCACATGAACACTACACCTGAACACAGCACCTGAACACTACACCTGAACACAACACATGAACACAACACCTGAACACAGCACCTGAACACTACACCTGAACACAACACCTGAACACAACACCTGAACACAGCACATGACCACAACACCTCAACACAGCACTTGAACACAACACCTGACACAACACCTGAACACACACTGAACACACACTGAACACAACACCTGACCACAACACCTGAACACAGCACATGAACACAGCACTGAACACAACACCTGAACACAACACACCTGAACACTGAACACACCTGAACACTACACCTGAACACAACACCTGAACACAACACCTGAACACAGCACATGACCACAACACCTCAACACAGCACTTGAACACAACACCTGACCACAACACCTGAACACAGCATATGAACACAGCACTTGAACACAACACCTGACCACAACACCTGAACACAGCACATGAACACAGCACTTGAACACAACACCTGAAGACAACACCTGAACACTACACCTGAACACAACACCTGAACACAGCACATGACCACAACACCTGAACACAACACCTCAACACAACACTTGAACACAGCACCTCAACACAGCACCTGAACACAGCACATGAACACAGCACCTGAACACAGCACCTGAACACAACACCTGAACACAACACCTGAACACAGCACCTGAACACAACACCTGAACACAGCACCTGAACACTACACCTGAACACAGCACCTGAACACAGCACCTGAACACTACACCTGAACACAACACCTGAACACAGCACTTGAACACAGCACCTGAAGGCAAGGCAAGGCAAGGCAAGTTTATTTGTATAGCACAATTCGTACACAAAGTAATTCAAAGTGCTTTACAGAATAAGAAATACATTAAAATCATAATAAAAACAAATCAAAACATAAATAATCATGAAGATTAAAATTAAAAAAGAGAGACATAAATTGGAGAGAAGAGTGCGGAATGAAAACCTTTCAGTTATATGCACAGTTAAACAGAAATGTTTTGAGTCTGGACACAGCACCTGAACACTACACCTGAACACAGCACCTGAACACAGCACCTGAACACAACACCTGAACACAACACCTGAACACAGCACCTGAACACAGCACCTGAACACTACAAACACTACACCTGAACACATGAACACAGCACCTGAACACACACTGACACACTGAACACACTGACACACACCTGAACACAGCACATGACCACAACACCTGAACACAGCACTTGAACACAACACCTCAACACAGCACTTGAACACAGCACTTGAACACAACACTTGAACACAGCACTTGAACACAACACCTGAACACAGCACTTGAACACAACACCTGAACACTGCCCCTGACCACAGCACCTGGACACAGGAGCTGAACATAGCACTTGAACATAGCATCTGAACACAGCACCTGAACACACCACCTGAATACAGCACTTACACACAGCACCTGAACACAGCACCTCAAGACAGCATCTAGACAGAGCACTTGAACACAGCACCTGAACACAGCTCCTGAACACATTACTTGAACACAGCACCTCAAGACAGCACCTAAACACAGCACTTGATCACAGCTCCTGAACACACCACCTGAACACATCACCTGAATACAGCACCTGGACACAGCCCATGAACACTACTTAAACACAGCACTTGAACACAGCACATGAACATAGCACCTGAATGCAGCACGTGAACACAGCACCTCAATACAGCCCCTGAACACAGCACATGAACATAGCACCTGAATGCAGCACCTGAGCACAGCACCTGAACACAGTACTTGAACACAGCTCATGAACATAGTATCTGAACACAGCACTTGAACATACCACCTGAATACAGCACATGAACACAGCACCTGGACATGCTGCCTGAACACACCAACTCAACACAGCATTTGACCACACCACCTGAACACAGCAGCTTAGCATAGCACTTGAACACTGCACCTGAACGCAGCACCTCAACACAGCACCTGATAGCTCATAGCCGGCTCATCTCGTTCAGGAAGTGCATGTTAGCATGGTAGTTGTTAACAGCAAAACTGTCTGAAGGTTGTGAAAACACTTATAATTAGGAATTCAGAATAGGAAAGTGAGGAATAACTTTAGAAAACTGCAGACTGTTTATAATGAACTGGTTCTGTACAAAAATATATTTATGAGCTCAAAGTATGTGAGTACAGGTGAGTACAGGTGAGTACAGGTGAGTACAGGTCACAGGCCCTTGAGCTTTGAGATCCTCGTGAATTCCTTTGGTCCGTATTTGTGGGTTGTGTCTCTGCTCGTGTCGAAGTCATCTGTATTCAGCTGTTATCTGAGGCTGTCAGGAGCTGCTGATGCTGCACTCTGCTCCACACACACCACTCTACACACACACACACACACACACACACCACAGACACACACACAGAGACACACACAGAGAGACTAAAAATAGATCGTTTTTATCAAGCCCAGAGAGAAGAGAGAGGAGGAGGCAGAGAGAATAGAGAGTGTGTGTGTGTGTGTGTGTGTGTGCGCAAGGAAGAGCGATTGACTATTTAAAATAAAATATGACATTGTTTGAATAGGAAAAAGTCCTCCAAATGTTGCCTATAACAGTTTTTCAGATGGAAATTGCTTCTGGATGGGAACCAAAACATCTTGATTGCAAAAACAGTGTCCAGATGATCACCGTTAAAACCGTCTTTACAAATTACTGATATTTGTTTGGGATCGGCTCCACAAACTTGCCATATTTATTTTAAGACTTAAAGGTGCACTGTGTAACTTTTCTAGGATTGGATTGGATTGTTTCACAGTA